CAGGTTTCTGCAGCACAGATGAAAACATGCTACTCCCTCTGCAAGTCAGCCTTAAAGAAAACCAGTGACGTATCCTCCTGCCATAGTACTCCCCTTTCCTGTGTGAGAATGCAAGGGAAGAGCTTCAAACCACCTGCACACGTTACAGAAGGTAGCCACCTGGGGCTGCCCACACTCAATGAGAGGGACCACATGGCACATTGCCCCTCTACATGCACAGCACAGCGTGCACCTGCAGTGGAGGGAAACTCTCATCTACAGGAGTGATGTGACAGAAGTCACGATAACTGCAATACAAGCCCCAGAACTGCACAGGACCTCAGCCCTGGGCAGTGCAAAAGGGTGGGAAAGGGGAAGCAAAGTACTGGGGAGAGAAGGGTTATCGGTGAGGAGCATGGGAAGGGCGAAGAAGGTCGCAAGCTAGCTATGCGCGCGCTCACTGATCCGCAGTAGTGTTATATAGATGAGGAAGTTGCAGGTGGAGGTGAGCACATCCTGTTGCATCTTCCACTTCAGTTTCTCTGGGTCCATTTTAGGCCCCAGTCCCTCGATCCAAAACAACCTGGCAAACAGACCACTCAAACACCACCACATCTAGTTCTAGTATCTCTCCAATTCCCAGATAAGGACACACTTCCTATCTCTGCCTTCTTTCCCCCACCTCTTCCCGAAAGAAAAAGGCTGCCACATGACCTCTGGGGAGTCAGTATGACTGAGTATTTGTGGGAGTAACAGTGAAGCTGCTGTCCTCAGCTGAAGAAGGGAAGAATAGAGTAGGGACAATATACATGAGTGTCTACTCCTTGTGATAGGGGCAGTGCACCTGTACCTGCCCTGGGCTCCCCCCCCCGAGGTCACTTCAAGGATGGGTACCAGGCAGAGCACAAACTGGGAACAGGTGGTGGGAAACAGCATCCAGACCTGTGAGGAACCTGAGGGTAAAACCAGGCCATAGGTGAAGTCAAGCTGGGCTTCTGCACCACAGGTTGGTGCTGCCCAAGAGTTAAATTGGCTAAGGAGAAACAAGAGCATTCAAAGCAGAACAGGTCTCCCAAATTAGGAGAGAGAGAAACCACATGATTTAGACCTGACCTGATCTGGCCCAGTTCACCCTTCCTTAGGCAACCCTATGCTCTCTGGGCATCACCATATCAGTGCCTCACCTAGCATGGGCACCAAATCAGCATACATAGCCCAGACCACCTGGGCTCAAGTGAGCTACCAGGCTAGGCCTCACAAGTACCTAGGATTGCAGGCATGAGCCAGCATATGGTGGGAAAGTCAGGAGGAGCTCTGTAAGCCATGATTCATACCCACATACACCGCACTGCAAAGGTAAATGCTGCTTCAGGCAAGCCAGCAGTCAGGCATTGCCTTCATTTTGCAAGCCAGCAGCCAGCCACAAGACATCTTCCCCCCACCGCCCCCCAGCTTACCTATTCTCTCATTGCATTCATCCTCAGGAACTGACAGCAGGGTGACAGGGGACATGGCAAAGCAGAGGCTGAGGAGAAGTGTTGCTGGTAACTTCAGAGGCTAGCTGAACAGATTAATGTCAGCATCTGTTTTTGCTGCTAGCTACATTACAGGACAGTTACATATTAGGGCCACCAACTCTAGAAAAAGCAAGAAGGTAAAAAAGGCAGCAAAAGAAAGAGAGAAAAGTGAGAATTAAAAACCACAAGAAAGGACAGGGTAAGGAAGCAGAAACATGTCATTGAGAGATTCCTCTCTGCCAAGCCATGACATAGAAATCTACCAACCTGCACAATGGGTGTTCAGACACCACAGAGAGATAGTACAATTGTGTCTTGTATTGCCAAGGTAGCCTGTAAGAAGTGTGTTGCAACATTTATGCATTTCTGACCTGCCACTCACAGTGTTTTGCTGTTAAGATGAAACTGACAGGCCTCATAGCTTTCTCAGTCTGTCTGTCTCCATCCTACAGAGGGTGACTGTCAGTTCTGGAGTGGATTCAATGCAATAATTTGCCACAGGGACTCCATTTAAGATGTATTCTTATTACTTATGATATCAGCAGTTTATGCAGAACCTAGAGATTAAAGTCAGCTGCATGTTCACAGAAGGGCAATTAGTTGTTATCTATAATTCATGTCTATTTCCCAAATTGGGAATGCCACAGAAGTAGAATACTAAACCCTAGGGAATGAGGAGATTGTAAAACTTATCCAGTAGATGCATCAGATAATATTCACTGGGAGCTGCAGCTATTCTTGAGAAGTGGGAGGTTGGCTCAGCTTGGCAGAGTTGCCTGCAAGAAAGTAGATAAATCCAGCAGGTATTGTTAGCACTAATGTGTCCACACCTCTGAGGTGAGGTCAGCAGGGTACTCTGACTGCTGTGCTGGAGAATGCAGCCAAGCCAGCTTCTTTCACAGCAAAATCTCAATTAGCTTATTATATTTTACTATATTTCTATTTCTGATTGCCCTGGGCTATGGGGTTCTGCTGTATGAGCGTAATATGTGCTATACAGAGCTTTAATTTCCTTTTCATCTCAGCTATTGTAGGGTCTTTTTATAGCCACAGGGGCTGGAAAGCTTTCTGAAAATTTCCTGTGCCTAATTTATTATAAAATTATCTGGTAACTTCATTTGTTTAGAGAGGAAATAGAAGCTGATGTCACACGGTCATCCCCAGGAGTACTGTAGTCCTTCTCTCTGCTCACATGGATCATGGGATGAGTATAGAGAGATGCAGATACTGAAATATGAACCGTTTTGTCCCAGTGACACTGGCAGTGGTTGCACCTGCTTATGCCAAAGCTGAATGTAAAGATAGAGGGGCCTGAAAGGGGGATCTTGGGGAATTCCCACAGCTACAGGTTCTATGGTCCTGCAGTAGGCAATTTACTACTTTTTTTTTTTTTTTGCCCATGCCAAGTTGCACACAGCAGCACTCTGCTTCTTGAGGGCAAGAGAACAGGGATAGCTCTGTGAAAGTGAGTCATCCTGCTAGATCACAGTTTCTTTAGGGTGGTAGGCTGCTCTCCTCCGCCCTGAGGGTGAGATGCTGCAACAATACAATTCAGGTGACCTGTGGTATTTGAGTTCAGAGAGCTTCTCTTGACCTGTGCTGGAGTTGACCCCCATTAGCCCTACGCATCTGTCCATGAAGGCAGTTGTATCTGATACCTGCACAGAGATCAGCTCTGCAGAGTGGCCTGGTGAAATGCACAAATTCTTGCAAGGTCCCTGGAGACATAGCAGCCCAGCCTTGCCTGCTTCCGGCACAGATGACACACACAGGCTCCCTTCCCCCTGGATCTCTGAGTGCCCACCACCTCCCTCAAGGCATATGCAGCTTTCCCCAATCACGTTAGCAGTCAGAGGGAGCAGGAGTTTGTCATTGTTGAAGTCTCCTGGTGATATGCAGTGTCTTAGGGGATGTCAAAGGAATACACTTTACTGTGTCACCTTTACATAGGCAGGTAATGCATTTACAGGAGTTCAAAGGGTAGGAGTTTTCCCAACTCACTTTAGCTGTCACAAGGGAGAGCCATGCTAGACCTAACATAGAGCCCTGTCTTCAGGGAAATGAATTCCTGCAGAAAATACAAAGTAGCAAGCAGACATCTGAAAACAACCCTATGTAGCTAGGGCATGAATCAACCCCCATGATATCTGTCACTCAGTTTGCCACAAATAATAGCATTAAGAGACTCTGCTGGCAACCAGATATGTGGCTAATGATGATCCTGACTAGCAGGGGCTGAGGCTTGGTGTTCATCAGAAGGCACTTGTTGGGAGCAGAGGAATGCAGCATACTTTCTATTTTGTTCTTTGTGGGATTGTAAATCATGCTACAATTCCCCAGCTGGTGCTCCTGAACAGACAAAGCTGATCAGAGCATTGCAGCGATTATTTCAGTTTGTGTTGTTCAGGTTCTCCCCCCATCAATATTTGAGCTCTGGTGCACACATATTTGGTCATAAAAGTGTCAGTGCTGCAGCCTCAAACTCATCTTGTTCAGGCCCTGCATGGTTTTGTGTATGCCAACCTTACAGATGCCAGGAGAGGAGTGAGCCAGGCAGATGAAGGCAGGAGATAGAATGAGCTGGCTGTCACATCTGGGCTCTTCCTGGAAGGTGGCTGCTGGCTGCAGGCTGTGCCATGGCAGTGAGTGATGCTCTTATGAGGTGGTGGGAAGCTGGAGGTGGAGTGAAACTAGAAATTTGGCCCTGCTGCCTGGTGTCTCCAGAAGAGAATGTATGGGCGCCCCTTCATCTCCCATGTGAGTGCTGTGGCATACACGCACCTCCCCGGCATTCTCCACCACACAGCCTGAGCTGAGCTTCTCTCTCCTGTCTTTCTCCCCTGTGGCATTCTTCCACATCCCTTCCTTGGTGTGCCACTCTTCAGCTCTGTAGCAGGTACCCTCCTGTCCCCTGAGCCAGTTTAACCCTCCTTTCTCTCCATAGAGACAGCTGTAAGTGTTCCTCTACATGATGTCTATGGCTTATCCTTGCCTATTATCACCATGGTACACCTCCACTCAGCATGCAGAGAAAAAGTGACTTCTCAGGGTCACACAGAGGTCTGTGGCAGAGTGAAGGATAGTATCTGATTCTCCTGAAGCCCCATAGACTACAAGAACATCTTTCTTCCTAGACTGGTGCCTGAATCCAAAAATGAAATTGTCAGTGGACATAACCTGGCCATAATCTGACCATAACCATTCCCCTGCATCTCAGGGGTATCCTGTGTGAATACAAGGGGCACATCTGGAACAGGACTTTCCCTCCCCAATCTTCTCCTAGCTGCAGCATGTCCTGGAACTATACACATTTTTTTAAATTGTTCTTTTCCAGCATTGGGTTCCCAAGAAGTATAATTCCACTCCCATCTGTCCTGCGCTTGTGGACACTCCCTGATGATTGTCCAGTATCACTACTGCTCTACTCCCACCCCAGCCTTGACCCCACAGAGCTGTCAGCAATGGACTGTCAGTAGAAGTCTAGCTATGTCCACTTCCTGCCCCCAGCCTCTCTCTTCCTCCTGCCTGACCCCAACTCTATCTTCAAACATCTTTGTTGTCTGAAATTACGTCAGGCATCAGGGACATGTTGATCCCAAGAATGAGCTTCAACCAGTTGAAAAACAAATAACTCCCCCATACTACCTCCAAGCAGGCAAGCCAACTCAACTCTTTGGGAGTCTATGTCCTCAATACCTCTCCTCTTGGTTGATATGTCAGCCAGCCCACTAAATCCATTGCACTCACTATATGTGCTCTTCAGAGGATATGGACAGCTCAACTTCTCTCTACCGGGCTGCTCCAGGAAAACAATCTGGCACTCCCTAGGAAGTTACTGGCTATTAGGCCTTGCCACAGCAGAGGGCAACTCAGTGCCTCATGTGAAGGCCCTGCAGATGTCCACAGCAGGCAAGAAGCACAGTCCTCCTGGAGCTTCTGTCTGCAGATGGGGAGAAAATTAAAGGGAAATTGCATGAGATTTCTTAGAAGAGAGAAAGCTGAGGCAAGATCCCTGATGGCCTTGATATTTTGCATTAAAATGAAAAACTGTTTAAGCCAAACAACACTTTAGATTCAAGATGGTTATGAAAAACAAATGGCTGAACTTTAGAGAACCCCTGGAAAGCTGGTTTTAGAAAGTAAATGCTGACCAACCCTAGTAGCACTGTTAGGGCTGCAGGCCGCTGACTAGGCCCTGGCCTGAGGTTCAGCTAACTGAACAGGACGTGGCAAACTACTGGACATGACAGGAGAAATTGCTCGATGTGACAGACAACAGAGGGAGAAGCTGGCAGAAGTTACAGGCAGTGCTGTGAGGGATAGTTGGATTTCACAGGTGGTTTTGGGGGAGCAATGTGAGAGATGGCCATACTTCACAGACACCTGATGGGGAGCACTGGAGGCCTTTTGGGGAGCGGAACCCTGCAAGGCCACCAGTGCCTGGGCAACCATATCAGTAACAGCATATCAGGCCACGAGTGCCTAGGGACTGGTACCAGAAATACCGAATTTGGGTATGGACATAGCAAAACTGGGACCAGTGGGGAAGAAGTAATTAGGGGTGGGTTGTTTATTTGGGAGGAGACTGGGGGCAGAGAAAGGGAGAGATCAAGCTAGATGGGGGAGAAGTACAAACATGGGAAAATGGAGAGAAGTGGGCAGGTCTCGTGTAAGCAAGCTGCCAGACAGTACACTTGTCTGACTGAACCCAGGTCCTGATCACTGCAGTCTATCCTATCTTCTTATTAAATCCTATTCTTAACTATTTTTTTCTGTGTAATATCACTCTCTAGCCTACGTGCCAGCAACTGGAGAAGGGATTGCTGGTCACAGGGTCTGTAGGTCTAGGTGCCACAATTGGAGGGACCAGGATGTGTTTATATTTCCCTAGTGAATTTTAATACTTTGCATATGTGTATGTGTGTGTGTGTGATCTCAGAGACCCAACAGCTTTCAAGAGGCCCAACCCCCAAACGCAGTGGAGACACAGGCAGAGTCTGTGCCTAGCAGGATGATAAGTGGCAGCTCTGAGGAAGGCGAAAGCTGGAAGCTGGTGATCGCTTGTATCAGGAGGAAGGCTCCTGCTCCTCCTGAAGACTTGCAGCTATGCAACAGGTTTACTGCCCTCAAAGCTGAGGAGGAGCTGGGTGCACTTTCGATCAAAACATCTGGGCCAATGGACCCTGAGCCAGGTAGGAGCACCTGGAGGAAGCAGTGAGTGGTAGTAGTGGGTGACTCCCTGCTGCAGGGGACAGAGGCACCCATCTGCCAGCCTGACCTGCCATCTAGAGAGGTTTGCTGCTTGCCAGGAGCTTGGATCCAGGATGTTGTGGAGAGACTGCCAAGGCTTGTCCGTCCCTCTGACTATTACCCCCTGCCACTCTTCCATGTGGGCACCACTGATACTGCCAAGGACAACTTGGAAAGTATCAAACGTGACTACAGAGCTCTGGGGGCAGTGGTCAGGGAATGGGGGCCCAGGTGGTTTTCTCCTCTATCCTGCCAGTGAGGGGGAAGGGTGTGAGGAGGAATGGACTGATACTGCGAGTCAACAATTGGCTGTGTAGCTGGTGTTGGCAACAGGGTTTTTGGTTTCTATGACCATGGGACCCTGTTTGAAGATCGACATCTGCTTGGGAGAGATGGGATCCCCTTTACTAAGCAGGGCACGTGCATCTGCCAACAGGCTGGCCGACCTGGTAAGGAGAGCTTTAAACTAGGAAACACACAGGAAGGGCAGAGTTATAGGGACCACGCAATCCACAAAACAGGGCTCAAGCAGGGATAATTCCAGCAATTGCATGCGGGCAAGGAAGTGCCTACAAGGCAACACTATGGGGAAACCTCTTGCACTCTTTCTGGGAAATCATCACACGTGGGTGCCTCTTGAAGCACCTGTACACTAATGCATGCAGCATGGGGAATAAACAGGAAGATTTTTGAGATCTGTGTGTAGTCGCAGGGCTATGATCTCATTGCAATTACAGAGACATGGTGGGATAGCTCACATAACTGGAATGCTGCAATGGATGGATACAGGCTCTTCAGGAAGGACAGGCCAGAAAGGTGAGGAGGGGGGACTTACCCTTCATGTGCGAGAGCAACTGTAATGTGTGGAGCTCTGCCGAAGGGGTGGACAACGGGCTGACTGAGAGCTTATGGGTAAGGATTAAAGGGCAGACTAACATGGGTGACACTGCTGTGGGTGTTTGCTACAGGCCACCTGATCAGGAAGAGGAAGTAGATGAGGCCTTCTACAGACTGCTGGAAGTAGCCTCATGTTCGCAGGCCCTGGTCCTCATGGGAGACTTAAACCACCCTGATATCTGCTGGAGGGACCACACAGCAGGGCACAAGCAATCCAGGAGGTTCCTGGAGAGCATCAATGACAACTTCCTGATACAGGTGATGGAAGAGCCAACAAGGAGAGGTGCTCTGCTGGACCTTGTACTTACAAACAAGGAAGGGCTGGTTGGGGGTGTGAAGGTCGAGGGCAGCCTTGGCTGCAGTGACCACGAGATGGCAGAGTTGAGGATCCTGTGAGGAGGGAGCAGAGCAAAAAGCAGGATGACAACCCTGGACTTCACAAGAGCAGACTTTGGCCTCTTCAGGGACCTGCTTGGAAGAATTCCATGGGAGACTGTGCTGGAGGGAAGAGGAGTCCAAGAAAGCTGGTAGATGTTCAAGGATCACCTTCTCCAAGCTCAAGAACAGGCCATCCCAATGAGCAAGAAGTCGAGCAAAGGGGACAGGAGACCTGTATGGATGAACAAGGAGCTCCTGGCAAAACTGAATCAGAAGAAGAAAGTGTACAGAAGGTGGCAGCTGGGATGGGTAAGCTGGGAGCAGTATAGGGACATTATATGAGTATGCAGGGATGGGGCTAGGAAGGCCAAAGCCCATTTGGAATTAAATCTGGCGAGGGATGTCAAGAACAACAAGAAGGGCTTCTATAAATATATTAGTAGCAAAAGGCAGACTAAGGGAAATGTGGGCCCGCTACCTTGACTTCAGTAAGGCTTGACACTGTCTCACATAAAAATCCTCATAGGCAAGCTGATGGAAATACAGGCTTGATGAGCAGACAGTGAGGTGAACTGAAAACTGGCTGAAGGGTAGAGCTCAGAGATCAGTGGTGCAAAGTCTAGTTGGAGGCCAGTATGTAGTGGTGTCCCCCAGGGGTCAGTCCTGGGTCCAGTACTGTTCAACATATTCATCAGTGACCTGGAGGAAGGGACAGAGTGCACCCTCAGCAAGTTTGCTGATGATACTAAACTGGGGGGAGAGGCTGACACACCAGAAGACTGTGCTGCCATTCAGAGGGACCTGGACAGGCTGGGGAGGTGGGGAGAGGGGAACCTCATGAAGTTCAACCAAGGCAAGTGCAGGGTCCTGCCCCTAGGGAGGAATAACCCCATGCACCAGTACAGGCTGGGGGCTGACCTGCTGGAAAACAGCTCTGCAGAGAAGGACCTGGGAGTGCTGGTGGATAAGTTGACCATGAGCCAGCAGTGTGCCCTTGTGGCCAAGAAGGCCAAGGGTATCCTGGGCTGCATTAGGCAGTGTTGCCAGCAGGTCGAGGGAGGTGATCCTGCCCCTCTACTCAGCCCTGGGAAGGCCACATCTGGAGTGCTGTCTCCAGTGCTGGGCTCCCCAGTACAAGAGAGACATGGCACTACTGGAGAGAGTCCAGCGGAGGGCTACAAAGATGATGAGGGGACTGGAGCACCTCTCCTCTGAAGAAAGGCTGAGGGAGCTGGAGAAAAGAATACTGAGAGGCGATCTCATCAATGTATATAAATATCTGAAGGGGGGGTGTCAAGAGGATGAGGCCAATCTCTTCTCCGTGGTGCCCAGCAACAGGACAAGAGGCAACGGGCATAAACTGAAACACAGGAAATTCCATCTGGACATAAGAAAACACTTTTCTGTAATTTGCTAGCAAACATCAAGTTGGACTAGCCAGTCAGTTGGCAGAGACCTGCATCTGGAAAGACTCAAGGTCTGAACCAGTGACTGGGTAAGGGGCCCCAAGTCTTCGCATGGATATTAGAGAGACAGAATCTGTGTAAATAACCAAGGGATCCATGAATGTGGGTGTGCTCGTGAATCTAGAGAGTGAGGGTGTACATGTTTTCACTAGGGAACCTCAATCCTGATCAGCCAGAGAGGAGGAACAGGACTGGGCTATCTGCATTCATGTTTAAGTGAGTGCTGTTGGTGTTTATGTGGGGGCTGGTAAAGGCAGCGCTCTGTCTGTGGCAGTCTGTGTGGTCAGCTGTCTTTATGTCCTGTGTGTGGGTTTCTGTGTGTCTCTGGGACACACGCTCAGCCTCACTACTGCCCAGATCTGCAAATGGGAACAGCAGCAGCTGCATCCATTGAAGTGGGACAGAGAGACCTCCTGGGTCTGAGTGCACCAGGCTGGGCTTCAGCAGCCAGGAAGGAGGAATTCCCCAGGTCCCAGAGTCAGCTGGATTCAGCAGCTCTCATTAACACTCAGCTTTCTAGATTGCCAGCTATTAGATTTTGACCAATATGTCTCCTCCCCCAAAAAACATGAATAATTTCTTCAAAAGGCATTATAACAGTCAACCTACAGTAGGTATGTTTTTAAAAAACATCTCAGCTAATGAAACTGAAGAGTAAAATATGCACATTTTTTCAGGCAAGTACCTGCTGATTTCAGTGAATGCTTTGTCAGCAAAATCTTAATATTCCATCAAGGTCTCAGAACCCTGTAAGTGGTTAGGATAACACATTATAAAATGATATGGGCATACTAGACTAGGAAACTGTTAACAGCAGTTTAAGTGTAGAGCTCTAATCCAAAGTTTTTATATTGCAGGTATAATGTTGTACCTTAAGCATCTCCAACAAGATGGAGATTGGAAGATCGACTACTTGCAGAAGTTTCGATGCTTGTTTCATTCATGTGTGTCCTGCATATTTGAGTAGTCTGAGTCCTAGTTTTATGAAATGGGTACCACAGGCTTTTAATAGCTGAATTCAGTTTCTTTTCATGCCAGACTATCAGACATTCACTTGCATACTGGTGGCTTTGAAGTATATCGAAACACTTTTTCCTGCAGAAAATTTATATTCAGAACACAATGTCCTTGTAATTGCTACTAACTGAAGAGAGGTAAAGCTTGGCATTCATATTTCATATGTGGATTAATGATAAATGTTCCATTTTTTTTTACATCTTATGATAAGACCAATTAAATCTAAGTAGGTATTTCTTTAAATACATGTGCTTTTCACCTGTTCCAAACTGCTAATACATTTGATACTGCTCATAAAACTATGGACAAATCATAGGCTAATTCCTTCCATGAAAATGGTCTGTGCAAGGTACAGAAGAATATTACACATTTCAGTTGGGAATTGGCCTTAGCAACAGTGGGAAATTTTGTAGAACATTGTCTCAGGTTTCAAACATGCAATCAAGGTTTATATTATTAAGGTGGAAAGCTTCCCACAGTAAAAGTAACAGAAATCCTAGCGACTGAGGAACATAGTTTGTTGAACAGAGGCCAATTTAACTTGTCACTTTATGAGAAACATTTTGAACAGCTTGCCTGCAGTGATTACAAGACAAGCTGTTTACCTATTCAGCTCTTGTTTCCCTGCTCCAAACAGCAGTGTTTCCCTACTAAATTCACTGAGGAAAATGCAGCTACATCTCCTGGATTTTTCCCTCTGGCAATAAACACAATACATGCAGTTAAGGAAAAACAACTTTAAAAGATTTAACTACAGCAAAACCTTTACAGAAAGGTGACTAATTTTTTTTAGCTAATCACAAATAATCAAATTCATATAATGAAAACAAAATTTTTTTTCTTTTGTGGCAATAACTAATCTGGTATGCACAAAACCAGCTCTGTTATCTAATCATTGTATAGATGTTTCAGCGATAGAAAAGGCCAAGCAAGTATATGTAAGGAAGTTCAGTTCCTTTGTGACAAAGAGGTGTTGTACTGGTGGTACCTGGGTGGGTTTTGGTTGAACTCTTCCCCATGCCCCACCTAGGTTTCTTTCAGATAGACCACCCTAAGTCATGTTGAAAGGAAAGACCAACAAGCATTACTGTGCAAACAACCAGAAAGACTAGACTCAATGGCACAGGATCAGAGGTCTGCATGGAAGGCAGAACACAGAATGCATGGAGCTTGACTTGTGGATGCAGTATCAGAATGCATACAGTGCTGGAATGAGAATTCATTTCATTGTTATGTTCACAGATCGCAAAAACTATGATCTTGTCCAAATTTACAAGATTTTAGGGAGAATGCACTTCAACTAAACTGAAGTAATTATCTAAGTTCCTGTTGATGTAAGACGTGCCTAGAACTTTGGCTGATACAAAGAAACACGTCCACTAAGGCACCCCGAGGCAATCTGACAGTGTGTTGGAGAAAACTTTGTTGTCAGTACCACATCGTTGTGAGAGTAGAGGGAACGAATTTCCTGCAAGGGACCAGCTTCTTTGGGTAAACAATCAACAAGTTCATTGCACTGTGTGTCAAACCCCAACAAGCGGATCCCATAGCCATGTGGGGATGAAATCATCCGACCATCAGGACTGAAACAAAGTTCTTTGATGTATCCCCGGCCTACGTTGGCTTCTTCAATGCAATGAGTCAATCGCAGAGAACAACGAAGTGAGACAGGGCGCACAGGGGCTCCTTCCTGGAATTCATAGACACAGGTCCACTAAAGAGGGAGGCAGGGAAAGGAACATGGGATGAGCATAAAGACCTCAGTTACTCATTCACTCTTGCTGCAGGTGACATGAATGACACAGGAACTGTCAACACTTTGCTTATTTATTCTTTGATAAATATTTACTATGAACCATTGGAAACAGACTGGCTCTTTGGCCTCTTCTCCCCTTTTAACTAAACTGACTACACAAAACAGTGTTAAAACTGCTTTTTTAATTAAATGATGAAGCAGATACATCTGCTACATGTAATCTTTCAAATCTAACTTTTAAACTGGAGAGAGGCAAGCCTACTCCTTTAGAGAGGCGTCTACTGTAATTTAGTAAAATCAACTGAAGTCTAAGATAAACTAGAACTCAGCCTACAGTGATTTACAATCACTCACTGGCATTTTGTGCACTTGAATGGAAAAAATATCTTACAAAAGGCAGAAATTGATATATTTAAAGGAAGGTTGCCAAACAACTCTATAGCCAGTATCTTACCTGGGAAACAGTCTGGTATTTTAATGTGCAATCTAAGCATATACTCTCAAAATAAAGTAAATTCATTATGATAAACTAAGTTTACATCATTGTGGAAGATTCAGATAGTGTTAAAGGTTTGCAGCCCCAAGATAAAAAGAACTGTTCCTAGTTTTCTTTCATGTATTCTATTAAAGTAAGAACAAAGAGAACAAACACCCTGCATGAAAGCTTGTGGAAAAGAATAAGGCAAGCACTAGAACAGTGGGAAATGATACTGACATAATTTTAAACTAACCTAATCTGATATTTGCATTTTCAGAAAGTGCTGTACAACATATAACAGTTTGATAAGTTAACAGACCCAGTACAGAAATTAAAAACAAATCTGCTATGTTTCTGCCAAATACTTTGCACTATATTTGTAGGAGGCGAAAGTTACCAAGAGTAGCTTTTATACAAAACAAATCAATTTCCATCAGTTATTAACTAACTAAGCTGCTTATCACTGCTAAAATATTCAAATAAGTCTTTTTGTTTTTTGGAAAACAAGTAAGATCTCAGTCTCTTGGCACACTAAATAGGGAGGTTTGCACAACTGTCACAACAATGATTTGAAATAACCTTATGAGAACAAGATGGTCACAAGAGGGTGCAATTCAACTGTTCTAAAGGTTCTGGTCTGTCTTTAAATTATGAGGAAACCTGAGTTAACCCAGAAGCTACTTCTTCTAGAGCAGGTGCTCCCAAACTGCAGCTTGCAGGCTCTTGCCTTTTGTATACAGCCCATGAAAAGGTTTTTTTTTTTTTTTAATTATTTCTGACTGTATTACAGACTGTTAGTTTTAAAAAAAGCTCCAGTGTGCTATCCCATCATTGTTCCCATTGGGAACAAGTTGGAACATGGGAAATTCCAATTAGATATGAGGAAAAAGTTTTGCACCATGAGGGTGGGCAGACGGAAGAGAGGCCCAGAGACATTGTGGGAATCTTCATTCTTGGAGTTATTCAGAAGTTGACCGGACAAGGCCCTGAGCAACCTGCTCTAAGTTGGCCCTGCTTTAAGCAAGAGGTTGGACCAGAGACTTCCAGAGGTCCTTTCCAACCTAAATTAAATCTGCTCTGCAGCTAACAGACGTAGCCAACAGGCGCAGAAGTTTGTGCAGAAGGGCACACAGAAGGGGACCAGCAGCTCTGCTCAGAACAGGATATGCATCCTCAGCAATAGTGGTGATGCATGACAGGGCACGGTCCCTAAGAGCCATTAGAGCAACTGTCTCTGCAACATCAGAGGCTTCGACCCAGATGGAGCTCCAGAAGGAAGATGCAGCCCTGCAGGTCTCAAGCTGCAGGGAGTGCCTGGGGGCTCTTGCCAAGACTGGGGCAGCAGGAGATGATCTTCTAGCCTGCAGGAAATGCATGGTCCTTGAGGCTCTGTGTCATCGAGTTAAGGCGCTGCAGGAGGTCAGCAGACTGAGCAGCATTAGAGATGATGAGAAAGAGATTGACTGGATCTTCTCTGAGATCCTGCAGCTTCAAGAGCCCAACCCCCCAACTGTACTGAAGAAGGGGCAGGCAGAGTCTGGGTCTGTTGGGGTCGGGGGGCAGTGGAGACTCCCAGGATGGCAAAGGCTGGAAGCTTGTGACTTCTGGCACCAGGAGGAAGGATCCTGCTCCACCTCAAGATTTGCAAATACAGAACAGAATCAGTGCCCTCGTAGCTGACGAGGGGCTGGGACCTCTGTCCAACGAAGCATCCAAGCCGGCTAAACCTGAGCCACGCAAGAGCACCAGTGGTAAATGATAGTAGTGGGAGACTCCTTGCTGCAGGGTTGGAGGCCCCCATCTGCTGACCTGACCTGTCATCTAGGGAGGTTTGCTGCTTGCCAGGGGCTCGGTTCCAGGATGTTGTGGAAAGACTGCCAAGGCTTGTCCAGCCCTTGGACTATTACCCGCTGCTGTTCTTCCATGTGAGCACCAATGATACTGCCAGGGGAGACCTGGAAAGTATCAAGCATGACTACATGGCTCTGGGGGTGATGGTCAAGGGCACGGGGGCTCAGGGGTCTTTTCCTCATTCCTGCAGGTGAGGGGGAAGGGCATGAGGAGGAGCGGATGGCTCCTGTAGGTCAACAATTGGTTTTGCAGCTGGTGTCGATAACAGGGTTTTGCTTTTTATGACAGTAGCACCATCTTTGATGATCGAGGATTGCTTGGAAGAGATGAGATCCATCCGACTAAGTGGGGCAAACAAGTGGGGACAACAGGCTGGCCAACCTGTTGAGAAGAGCTTTAAACTAGGGACAATGGGGGAGGGAGAGGATGACCAACAGTCATGTGAGGAAGGGGCGGACCAGGCTGGCAAGCAAATTGTGTGGGGTCATGTAAACAGGAGGGACCTTGTAATCAACAAAACAGGGCTGAAGGAGACCTACTCCAAGCGTATCCATATAAATAAGGAAGTGCCTACCAGACAGAACTATGGGGAAAGCTTTCATACTCTTCAAGGGAAAGCAGCACAACTGGGCGCCTCTCTGAAGTGCTTATACACTAATGCACACAGCATGGGGAACAAACAAGAGGAATTAGAGGCATGTGTGCAGTTACAGAGATATACTCTCATTGGGATCATGGAGAAGTGGTGGGATAGCTCACATGACTGGAATGCTGCCATGGATAGATACAGGCTCTTTAAGCAGGACAGGTCAGGAGGATGAGGAGGGAGAGTTGCCCTTTATGTGAGAGAGCAGCTGGAATGTGTGGAGCTCTGCCTTGAAATTGGTGATGAGCCAACTGAGAGCTCATGGGTCAGAATTAGAGGGCAGATCAACATGGGCGACATTGTGGTGGGTGTCTGCTATAGAACGCCTGATCGGGAAGCAGAAGTAGATGAAGCCTTCTTCAGACAACTGGAAGAAGCCTCATGTTCGCAGGCCCTGGTCCTCATGGGGGACTGGAACCACCCTGATATCTGCTGGAGGGACAACACAGCAGAGCACAAGCAATCCAGGAGGTTTCTGGAGAGCATCAATGACAACATCCTAACATAGGTGATCGAGGAGCTGATGAGGGAAGGTGCTCTGCTGGACCTCATAGGTATAAACAAGGAAGGACTGGTAGGGGATAGCCTTGGCTTCAGTGACCATGAGATGGTGGAGTTGAGGATCCTGAGAGGAGGGAGCAGGGCAAAGAGCAGGATGACAACCCTGGACTTCAGGAGAGCAGACTTTGGCCTCTTCAGGGACCTGCTTGGAAGAATCCCATGAGATATGGCCCTGGAGGGAATAGAGGCCCAAGAGAGCTGGTTGATTTTCAAGGATCACCTCCTCCAAGCTCAAGAATGGTCCATCCCAATAAGCAGGAAATGAAGCAAAGGCAGCAGGAGGCCTGCATGGATGAACAAGGGGCTCCTGACTAAACTCAAACATAAAAAGGAAGGTACAAGAAGTGGAAGCAGAGACAGGTGAACCAGGAAGAATATGGAGACACTGTCCGAGCATGCAGGGATGAGGTTAGGAAATCCAAAGCCCACCTGGAGTTGAATCTGGTGAGGGATGTGAAGGGCAACAAGAAAGGCTTCTATAAGTGCATAAGCAGCAAAAGGAAGGCTAGGGAAAATGTGGGCCTACTGCTGAATGGGAATGGGGCCTGGTCCCAAAGGACATGGAAAAGGCAGAGGTGCTGAGTGCCTTCTTCACCTTGGTCTTTACCAGTAAGACTGGCCTTCAGGAATTCCATGTCCCTGAAACCAGTGGGAAAGTCCAGGACAAGAAAGATTTACCCATGGCTTCTATAGGTATATCAGCAGCAAAAGGAAGGCTAAGGAAAATGGAGGCCCTCTGCTGAATGGGGAAGGGGACCTGGTGACAAAGGACACGAAAAAGGCATAGGTACTGAATGCCTTCTTCATCTCAGTCTTTACTGGTAAGACTGGCCTTAAGGAATCCCAGGTCTCTGAGACCAATGGGAAAGTCTGGAGCAATGAAGACTAACCCTTGATGGAGGAGGATCACATTAGGGACTATTTAAACAAACTGGACACTGGGGACCTGAGGGGATCCCCCCAGGAGGGCTGAGCTGGCCAGTGTCACTGCAAGGCCACTCTATAAACATTGAAAGGTCATGGTGATCGGTAGAGGTTCCTGAGGACTGGAAGAAAGCAAATGTCACCCCTGTCTTCAAGAAGGGCAAGAAGAAGGATCTGGGGAAACACAGGCAAATCAGCCTCACCTCGATCCCTGGGAAGGTGATGGAGCAAATAATCCTGGATACCATTTCCAGAAATGTGAGGGACAGGAAGGTGACTGGGAGTAGTCAGCATGGATTTATGAAGGGGAAATCATGCTTGACCAACCTGATCATCTTCTATGACGAGATGACTGGTTTGGTGGATGAGGGGAGAGCAGTGCCTGTTATTTACCTTGACTTCAGTGAAGCTTTTGACACTGTCTCCCATAACAGCCTCATTGACAAATTGATGAAGTATGGACTAAATAAATGGACAGTGAGGTAGACTGAAAACTGGCTGAATGGCAGAGCTCAGAGGGTTGTGATCAGTGGTGCAAAGTCCAGCTGGAAGCCAGTCACTAGTGGTGTCCCCCTGGGGTCAATACTGCGTTCAATACTGTTCAATATATTCATTAATGACCTAGAGGATGGGACAGAGTGCACTCTCAGCAAGTTTGCTGATGATACAAAACTGGGGGGAGTGGCTGACACACCAGAAGACTGTGCTGCCATTCAGAGGGACCTGGACAGGCTGGAGAGATGGGCAGAGAGGAACCTCATGGAGTTCCACAAAGGGAAGTGCCAAGTCCTGAACCTGGGGAGGAATAATCCCATGCACCAGTACAGGCTGGGGGTTGACCTGCTGGAGAGCAGCTCTGCAGAGAAGGACCTGGGAGTCTTGGTGGACAACATGTTGACCATGAGCCAGCAATGTGTCTTTGTGGCAAAGGCGGCCAACAGCATCCTGGGCTACATTAGGCAGAGTGTTGCCAGCAGATCGAGAGAGGTGATCCTCCCCCTCTCCTCAGCCCTGGTGAGACCTCATCTGGAGTGCCGTGTCCAATGCTGGGCTCCCCAGTATAAGACAGATATGGAGCTACTGGAGTGAGTCCAGCGATGGGTTACTAAGATGATTAAGGGATTGGAGCATCTGTCATATGAGGAGAGGCTGAGAGAGCTGTGATTGTTTAACCTGGAGAAGAGAAGGATCAGGGGGATCTTATCAATGTGTCTAAATACCTGATGGGAGGGTGTAAAGAAGATGGAGCCAGATTCTTCTCAGTGGTATCCAATGAACAGACAAGGGGCAATGGAAACAAATTGAAATACAAAAAGTTCCACTTAAATATAAGAAAAAACTGTTTTACTGTGAGGGTGGTGAATCACTGGAACAGGTTGCCCAGAGAGGTTGTGGAGTCTTCATCCTTAGAGATATTCAAAACTCAACCAGACAAGGTCCTGAGCATCCTGCTCTGGTTGACCCCGCTTGAGCAGCAGGGAAGTTGGACTAGATCACAGAATAACAGAATCACAGAATCGTTTAGGTTGGAAGGGACCTCTGGAGATCATCTAGTCCAACCTCCCTGCTCAAGCAGGGTCACCTAGAGCAGATTGCCCAGGATCACATCCAGACGG